CACGTTTTCAGTGTTTTGTGTTTCTAACTGAAGATTTCAGGACATTTTGTGAGAAGACGTATTAACCTGGATGCATTTTTTAATAAAGGAAATTAAAACACTTATCACTGACAGTGGTTTGCACAGTATTTTCATGTACATATTCTGTGAGTTTTGGTTTCCAAAGAAATATGGATTCAGGCAGTTTCTTCTGCCTGAATAAATTATTTTGTAGTGATATTGTTAGCTATTCTCATTCTTTTTTTTTTTACTTCATCCTTTAAAGTACCAAAATTTGCACACAATTTTGTAATTTCAATCCTATGATCTGGAGTGGGGGCTCCACAGTGACGCAGGTGATAGCACTGTTGCCTTGCAGCAAGAAGGTCCTGGGTTTGATTCCCGGCCTGGGGTCTCTGCACAAAGTTTGCATGTTCTCCCTGCGCATGTGTGGGTTCTCTCTGGGTACTCTGGCTTCTTCCCACTGTCCAAAAACATGACTCTCAAGTTAATTGGTCTCATTAAATTTTCCCTAGGTGTGTGTGTGTGTGTGTGTGTGTGTGTGTGTGTGTGTGTGTGTGTGTGTGTGTGTGTGTGTGTGTGTGTGTGTGTGTGTGTGTGTGTGTGTGTGTGTGTGTTGCCCTGCAACAGACTGGCGACCTGTCCAAGACGTACACCGCCTCTCACCCAGAACCTAGCTGGAGATAGGCACCAGCACCTCCGGACCCAATTAGGGACTAGGAAAAAATATATTTGTGAAATCTTCAGAGTTTTTGTGTTTTTTCTTCTGTTTATGACTCAGTTAACTGATGAATGCTTACGGTACTTACTTTATAAAATAACATTATTTAACATTTATAACTTTCTTTTAAAGAAGCTACTGGAAAAGTAATGAAGCTGTGAAACTTTAATGAACGTTTTTCAGTCACAGGCATCCAAGTGTTGGGGGACCAGTTGCTGGAGACTTTAGATCAAGGAATCCCCTCTTTCCATTAAAATATGCTTCTTCTCTCTTCCTATGAATATTTTTGTTTTGTTATTATAAAGCACGGTGTTTCACTGTCCACGTTAAACTGAACATTCATACACATGCGGATAACTTCTGTCTGAGAGCGGAATGAGTTTAGAACGGGATCAGTTTTGAACAGGCACTCAGGGCAGCCCTGCGTCCTCAGTTTCTGTGCTGAGCGTAAACTCAGCAGAACGTCGCAGCCACAGTGTGACGCACGTCTGACTTCTGAAAGTTGTTTGCTTTTCCACGTAAGCCGAAGAAGTGGAAGAAGTCACCAAAATGCATTGTATGTCTGTGACATGAAGTTGTGAGACAACGTGTACGTTGCTGCATTCATGGAAATGTGATTATTTCAGTCGTTCAGACAAGCGAAGTTTTTGTGTTGAAGGACGTAAACATGTTGACAGAGTGACGTACGTCTGATTTAGCAATGCTTGTATTTTCAGAAAGAAAGGGAAGGAAAGAACATTTACAACCACCGCAGGACTCGACACCACTTTTGTCCGAGTGTGCAAAACAAGCACCATTTTCTTAGAGATATATATACATATATAAAATTTTTTTAAAAATTCCCTTCTGCACATTTCTGGACTGAGATGTCTGATGTTGTTCCTGGGATCTGTTGTAGCCACTGCTCCAGTTTGGGGGTTACTGCCCCGAGGGCCCCGATGACCACAGGCACCACTGTGGTCTTCACCTTCCAGGCCCTCTCCAGTTCTTCCCTGAGGCCCTGGTATTTCTCCAGTTTCTCGTGCTCCTTTTTCCTGATGTTGCAATCACTTGGTATTGCTACATCAACCAACGGCTTTCCTCTGATGTTTATCCACTACGACAATGTCTGGTTGGTTCGCCCTTACCATTCTGTCTGTCTGGATCTGGAAGTCCCACAGGATCTTAGCTCTGGCGTTCTCCACCACCTTTGGGGGTGTTTCCCACTTTGATCTCGGGGTTTCCAGTCCATATTCTGCACAGATGTTTCTGTACACTATGCCTGCCACTTGGTTATGTCGCTCCATGTACGCTTTCCCTGCCAGTATCTTGCACCCTGCTGTGATGTGCTGGACTGTCTCAGGGGCCTCCTTGCACAACCTACACCTTGGGTCTTGTCTGGTGTGGTAGATCTGGGCCTCTATTGCTCTGGTGTTTAGGGCCTGTTCCTGGGCGGCCAGGATGAGGGCCTCTGTGTTGTCCTTGAGTCCAGCTTTTTCCAGCCATTGGTAGGATTTACTGATATCAGCCACTTGGGTTATTTGCTGGTGGTACATCCCATGTAGGGGCTTGTCCTCCCATGATGGTATCTCTGGCACCTCAACCTCCGTTCCCTGTTGTCTGAGACATTCACTGAGCACAAAGTTAAAGGTCAAACTAGGCATTTATTTGCTATCTAATTTCTAAAAATTCATATTTTCAATTCAGAATTTTATGAATCCATTAAGTGTTTTTTTTGACAAGACAAAAGCAATGAATCAACACAGTAAAAAAAAGAGACTGAAGATTCCAGATAGTATTATAGCAATTTTAATTTTCTTGTATTGTAACCAGAAAATGCATGAAAAATGAGGTAATTGCAGCTCTGTCTGTTTTGCTGGGAGTAATGGTGCGTGTCAGGATGGGTTTCTTTCACCTGCCCTGTTTAACTTGTACACAAAGGACCTGTGAAAAGAAAAGAACCTCTGTAAAAGTGGATGTCTGCCCGGTGATCCTTTGGTCAGTCACCCTATGTATGCTGATGACCTGACTTCCTCTCACCCAGCAGTGCTCGATTTCAGCAGTTACTGAATATCTGCTGTGATTATGGGCTGAGATTTGATGTGCAGGACGATGTTAAGAAAATTGTTACGAAGGACTAAGGCAGACAAAGAACTTTATTTTCCTGATTTTTTATTTTTATTTTTTCTCTGTTGGGACAAAGGTTAAATGTTTGTGACATAATGATGATATTTATGTCAGATACCGTTCGCCCATGCAAATTCCGGGGAGAAAATTTCATATATGTACTGATGAGGTAAAAATAAGTCTGTTCAAAGTTTACTGTACATCCCCGTGCACAGCCCCTTTGTGGTGCTCATTTTAAAGAGCTGGCATGCAGAAGCTTCAGGTTGCTTTTTTACGTGTTGCTGTGTGTCGTGTCTTTGTTCTTTTTTTATGTCGAAGTGAACCATGAGTCTGTTGAATAACGCAATCTCGATACTTTAAATGCAGTTTTTACAACAAGCCCTTAGAGTTTTGTTGGAGAACAAACAGCATCATGAGGACCAAAGAACACCAAACGGGTCACTATCAGTAATTTCAACTCCTGACAGTTAAAGGTTTCAGAATAATGTTTCAATTTTAAGCATATTTACAAACAAGCAGGACATTTTTACTGAGTGTAGAAGTATGAAGGGAAGCAGAATAATAAATGTTGCTCTTAAATGAAAACTGCTTTGGTCTTGTTTAAGCCTGTAAATCAACTCCAAATGTGCAGGTGTGAGTTAAAACAAAGAATCATTGTAGAGGAACATCGCCCCCTGTTGACTGGAGTGCATTTTGCAATGGACTTGACATTTGTTGTCGCATTCAACAACTAAGAGTCCCTGTTGTGAGAAAAGTAATAAAGTATTCTTGACAAAAAGAGAAGATATGTTGTATGATAATGGCTATGTCTTTGTTGTAAAAATGCTTGTCGACAACAGAAATTTTACCCTTGGAAACCTTTTTTTTTTCTGTTAAATGGTGTCACATTTGTAAGGAAGATCTACATGCATGTTAAGACTGGGATGCCATTTGATAGCATTGTGTGACCAAGCTGGTCACCAGAAAGAGGAGGAAGTTCCAGGTTGTTTTTGGTTTGTTAAATGTAAATTTTTAAATTGACAATATGTCATGTGTTTCTTCATATTTTTATCATTCACTTCAATAAACAAGACATAATGAAAGTGTAAACTGAATTCAGAGCCAATAGCATTGGTTCCAAGAGACGCTCTAGAACAAATGGCTTAAAAAGATACTTCAATAGTTTTACAACTCTTTTCTTCTATTTCAGACATTTTAATTTGGAGTAGAGCTGCTCTTGTCTGAGTACAGTTTCTGACTACCAGCCTATAATAACTTCACAAATGAAGGAGGAACATATTTTAACAGAAAATGCATCAAACACAGAAACACACCTGCTGTTTATAGTAAAGTCAGACTTCTGGTTTGCACACAGGCTTCCTGTTTCTAATGTTACTCAGTCTGCAGAGCCTTTTGACCCATTGAGAGGTCAAGTGGATATGCCATAAACACTTATCACTGACAATGGTTTGCACAGTATTTTCTTGTACATATTAACTTCTCTGAGTCTTGGTTTCCAAAGGCAGGCAGTTTTTTCTGCCTGAATAAATTATTTTGTTTTGACATTGTTAGTTAATCTCACTCATTTTTACTTTATCCTTTAAAATACCAAAATTTGCACACAAATTTGTAATTTCAGTTCTCTGTTCTTGAGTCTCTCTACTTCAGTAATTTTTTTGATTCCTTTCTTTCTTTCATATTAAAATAATGTTTAAGTAGTGCTGCTCATGTCTGACTTTAGAGATGTTGCCAATATAACATAAAGCCTTTTTAATTCACCCATTGTGTTTGTTGTTTATTTCTTTGTTTTGTTTTGAGTAAACATCTGCTATAGATTCTCTCCTCCCATTGTTTCTACACAGCTTAATCTGAGTGAGAAAAATATCTTTGTGAAATCTTTAGAGGTTTTGTGTCTTTTCTTCTGTTTATTAATGACTGAATTAAATGATGAATGATTACTTACTTAATAAAATAACATTATCTCTTAAACAAGCTACTGGAAAAGTAATGAAGCTGTAAACCTTATTGAAAGTTTTTCAGTCACAGGCATTCAAGCCCCATTTTCTTTGAGATATTTTATGAATAGTAGCTCAACAGGTTTGGTTACATATTTTCATACTGAAATCGAAAGTAAAACGTAGGCGTGTCTTTCCGTCTGTTTCACGTCTTGTTTATTTCTAACCGGGCAACAGAAGCGAGCAGGTATCAGATCTTCCCTCCTGGACTTGATTCACGTCTAAAACTCGTCAGCAGGAATCATCACCGTTTTTCAGTGGTTATGTTCATGTCACCTTTGACTCACTGGAGCCCAATGGGGAAGCAAAGAGTTACAATCGCTGCTTTAACAGGTAAATATGATCCAGATTTCATTCTGTAAATCTGATCTCATCATGTCAAGAGTTTCCAATCTTGTTTGTTTTTCTCTTACAGAGAGAAAAGCAAATGTTTGTTCTCTTATAGCTCAGACAGTTTCTCATTAATATTTTTTCTATCCCAGGTAATCAGATGATTTATTTTTGCTTTCTGGTTCTCCTTTCTTCATCCGGCTCTGCTGCTCCAGGTGAGTCCTGACATCATCATTTATAGCGCAGGATTCCCCTGAGAGTCCTCGTCTGCATGACTTCATTTATTGGTTTAAAGTGACTTTCTTCTCCAGAGAAACTCTTGGCTTGATCACCAGATCTTAATTTTTTGGAGCATTTATAGGACTAAAGTCAAATTTCTTTGTTTGTACACTCAAACTTGATTCTGATCCTAATCAGAATTGGCCAACTTCTGCATGGGGTCCTTAGCAAAATATGGTTTTGTGGCCCTGAACTTCAATCAACAGTCAGAAGATTAGCTCATTGAAACACCTGTTATAAACGCCATACATCTCTGATCGTGATGGTTAAATTTTATACTATATTCATGTATTTTTGTATTGGCAACAAAAAATAAACTAGTGTGCACTGGACTTAATATGGAATACACACACACACACACACACACACACACACACACACACACACACACACACACACACACACACACACACACACACACACACACACACACACATTAATTGATATACTTTGATTAAATTAATTTCTCTTTCTATTTTATCTTCGGTGCTTTGGAGGTTTTGACATGCACTGCATGTTACATGGCAGCTAATATTATTACCAGGGGTCCTTAAGAAAGGCTTCTGCATTCATTCATGAAATAAAAATCCGAACATTACAATAAAAAAGTGTGTTTTTGTTAATATAAAAACATAGAAATCATGACTAAATAAACTATTGTGATCTTTTGGAACCAGCAGTATTGAAAAAATTTCTACCAACAGCATAAATATCATTTCACAACCATGTTGTACATGCTACTGGTTCACAAAAAAAATATTTTAACGGTTCCTTTTTTATGTTTACCGTTTATGGAACAGCAACTATCATTATTTATTGTTTGCAAAATTATTTAATATAAAGAATTTAATCTACTGAAAAATCTAAGACAGACTTGGAATCAAGGGAACCTTTTACTTTGAAACACTGAACATACTTAATCTAAAACCACAACAAAATGAAAAGATGACTCTGATTATGATTTTCTTTTCTTTTCAGTTTCAGAGACTTTCACAGTTTCAGTAAAGTCTCCTGTCTCAGTCCAGAGAGGTCAAACAGCCATCTTACCCTGCTGGCTCACCCCGTCTCAGAGTGCAGAGGATATGGAGGTTCGCTGGAATCACTGGAGTCATGAGTTTGGTTCTCCAGTCCTGCTTTATAAGGACAAGGCTTTCGACTACTCATCCCAACAAGCTTCATACGCTGGCCGAGTCTCATTGGGCTTAAAGGAAAAAACATCAGGAGGATTAAAGTCAGGTGATGTCAGCCTGAAGCTGGAAAACGTCACAATTGAAGATGCAGGAAAATATATATGTTCTGTCAGCAGTTCTGATGATTATGACAGTGCAACTATTATTCTCAGTGTGACAGGTGAGAACCATGAGATCAAAACCAAACAGAATGATGTCAACATTGAATGATCATCCTCTTCTTATTCCAGAAACTGGAGGCCAACCTCTCCTGTCAGCAGTGATGAAAGACGATAACAAAGTTAATATGAGCTGCCAATCTGCTGGCTGGTATCCAAAGCCTGAGCTGCACTGGTCAGACAACAAAAAGGCTCTCACACCTGCTGATGTGTCGATCAGCAAAAACTCTGCTGGTTTTTATTCAGTCCATAGTTGGGTTCTGGTCTCCAGTCCTTGTGACGTCTCCTGCTCTGTTGGGCTCGTCAATGAGGCACCAAAAGAGGCCAGAATGTGTTTGGAAAATCCTCCATCATCACAAGAAGGTACGTGGTTTCACCCTCAAGTTTCTTTTATTAGTCTTTTATGAAAAATAAGTTTATTTGAACAGTATTTGCTCTTTATTTAGATACAATATTGCTCTTCGCTGGATGGGTGGCCTTTGGGATCCTTGCGGCAGCTGTAGTTGTTGTCGGAGCTGTTCTGTACTTCAGAAAGAAAGGTCAATGTTTGATTTAAGGCAAAGAGAATGCACGTATGAAATTTAAAGAATGGTGACATTTTATTGAGCAATAACTTCAAACCTTGTTCTATTTATTTTAATTTCAGCTAACAAGGCAAAATCTGGAGACGACACAGCTGGGGGTAAATAAAACACAACAGACCTAAAATGTCATTGTTTTTCTATTAAAGGGGCAATCATTTAGTTTTGTTTTGTGGTTTTCTGACTTAAGTACAAATGTAACAAAATAAATCTTTGAAATAACTATTTGAACAGATTGATGAGACTTAATGAGATTTAACTATGTCAAGTGTCAGTTACTACTTTTCCTAAATAAAAGCTGTTGTAACTTATTATATTTAGAAGTCATAAGATTAGAGCATTGATAAATACATTGAAAGTTTGAAAATATTATGAAGTAATATTGTAGATATAGTCCACAACCTTGTGATCATACTGTACAGACTTAACTGCCACAAATGTGCTTTAAGTGTGAAAATAAGGTTTATTTAGGTTTATTTAGGTTACCACAATAAGTCTGTTTTGATACCGGGATTTAAAATGTCATCTCTGTCTTGACCCTGTAAGAATTGAATTAAAAAAAGAAGTTTAGATCTGTTTTTTCCAGAGTAGTTTTCCATAATGTCATGAGGAAACTGGTAATTCAATAATCAAATTCCTTTAAATGTCTAAGAAGAACTAAATAAGAACATTTTTCTTTTAGTACATTAAATCCGAATCGTCCATCTAGATATCAAAATGTGAACCTCTTTATCCATCAGACCATCCTAGAAGTCACTGTGTAACATTAATAAGCATAAAACAGTTATGACAACAAGTCATGCTGGATTTAAAATTCCTAAAGTTTGTGTTTTTACCTTTCAGCGGCTGAACTAATGAGCAGGCCTGAAGGTAAGAAAGAAGACATCATTCATTTGTACTTCTTTCTCTATGCCTGTCAGTTTAATTCATTTCAGTTCAACAGAATGTATTTATATAATGCCAATTCACAGCACGGTCACTGAACGTGCATTTCAGGTTATTTTAATTTGCCCTAAATGAATGAAGGCTTGAATTGAACACATCACAAACATGAACTTATTACATATCTTTACAGTGAGTCAGACTCTCAGCAATCTCACCTTCAAACTAGAAATGTCTGTAAAAGTGTAGATGGTTTTAATGCTATGTTTATTTTTGTGATATAAATATATACAAATGTATTTAATTTGGCATTTTTTCCTTAGAAAGTGAACAACTTCTGCCTACAGGTAGGACCCAGAATTTTAAGTTGCCAGTATTAGAGTCTAAACAAAACCTTTATAATAGAAAATCACATTTCTGGGATGTTTTTTTCTATTGGTTTTTCTGTCCAGCAACATGGCAGCCAACAGCTCACTGGGAAGCCTCCCAGTATTATGGTAATTTCACATTTACTTAATATTATTCTTATTTAGCGTTTTTTTATGTGATTGTGTTGATTATAATCCAATTTTTTATTTTTAACAGATAATGTTCAACTGGTGGGCACAAACAATACGCTGATAATAATCACAGGTTCTAAACTGAGAGAAAATATCCATGCAAAGTTTCCTGATGGAGACAGAGTCACTTGTCTCACTGCAGTCAGAGGTTCTCCTGGCTTCTCTTCTGGACGTCACTACTGGGAGGTTTGCTTAATGGCACCTGAAGTCGACCTCAAGACGTCCTGGTGGATTGGAGTTACAGATAAACATGAAATCCCTCATGATGAAAGTTTCCCTCCAACCAAAAAAAATGGTTTCTGGTTCTTGTCTTCTTGCCCCAACCGGGAGAATACTGTTCAGTTTAGCACCGAACCAACGACATTCATTTATGTCCAGTCAAAACCAAAAACAGTTGGTGTGTATTTGGACTTTGACAACAGAGAGCTCTCCTTCTATAATGTGGAAGAGAAATGTCTGATTGGATCTCTGGCAGCAGAATTCACAGGTAAACTGTTCCCACTTTTTAACCCTGGGAAAGGTGACGTGTTACCTATGGAGATAATACAAAGACCTGTGCAGGATCAGTCAAATAACTGATGAACCTGTGGAGAAAGTACAGAAGGAGAGGAGGATTAATCATCCAGTTCCTCTGGATGAGAACTGAATGTTTTGCTCCTTAAAAAGAAAAGAAGAAAAATAAGACACACCACATTGTACAATTTTTTAAAAAATCCTGTTTTGTTGGTGATTTTTGTTCAAATCTCCATTCTTCTCCAGGTTTGAATTCTAGTTACCATAATATCCTGGACATTTGAGAACATTCACATTTTTTAAATCACTGTTAAATGACTGAACACAATGCTGAAGCTGTTTTTTGATTTGTGGTGATGTGTTCAAGGACTATGTCAATTATTTTCTAGTGTCTGAACCAACTTAGATCCATCAACTTACTTGAGTTGTTGAGGGATCTAAGTTGTTTAGATCTTACCTGAGTTAGATCTAAACTGTATTTAGATCAAATGTCTTGGTCTAAATAGTTTATTTACTGCTTGATGTGGTGAACTAATCTAATCTGACATAAAAAGAAAATTATTGATCTTGAAATCCACTTGATCAGTATGTCCCAGCCCATGCAGGACAGTGTCCTTAAGGCTCACCGACCTGCATGGTTTCCTTTCTTCAATTATCTCAGATAATTACAGCATCAGTTAATCAGCCACCAGTTGGCATCAATTGTCCTGAGGCAGAGAAATACATAAAACATACAGGGCATTTTATCACGAGGACCAGGGTTAGGAAACATTGCTCTTGTTTAGATCATAAAGGTACATCTTAAATGTCTAAATATCGTCTAAAAGTTTATTTCATCAACTCAGTTTGAAATGTTAAACTCTGAAACAGTGACCCAAGCAAGTTCACGCCGTGAATATTAAAGATAGCCTTTGAACTTTTGGCACCAGAGTGGTCAGGTGCCGAGTCCTGCTGGAAAATGTAATCACATCTTTGCACAGCGTGGCAGCAGAGAGAAGCCTGAAGTACTTTGGACTGATCTGACTTTGGACTAAAATAAAGTGGACCAACACCAGCAGATGAAATGCAACCCCAAGTCACTGTGGAAATTTCACTCTTCCTTCAATCAACTTATTGAAAAGACATTGGACCACTGTGCAGCAGATGATTCTGACATCTTTGGTCCAGGAGGAGTTTAACACGAGGAATGTAATCATTTTGAAGCTCATGTTCTGGATTTGTCTTCAGCTGAAGTTCATGTACATTTCCTTCAAACTCTCAACATGTTGTGATTATGTTTGTTGCTTCTGGAAGGATTTTCCCTTCGACCCAACTTTTCATAAATTTCCTGAGAACAGCCAGATTCTTCAGGATTGTGCCTTGGTAGATTGCTCCCCCTAGAGGAGGAGTTTGGTTAGTGTCTGCTGGACAACTGTAGGTTTCCCTCAGTGTCCAAGCAGGAACAGAAACATGTTAACTGAAATTATTAATGCCTGTAATATTCTTTTGACAGATATATTCATTTGATGTCATTGCTTATGAAAATTAAATAATTGCTTTAGATTATTCTTTTTTAAATAAATTACTAAACTAGGCTAATTTGTTGATAGTGATTTTATTTTTATGCACCTGCTAAGGAATAAAATCTTGAAATTCAACATATTGCCATTCTTATCCACACCTGAAAATTGTATAAAACAAATTTTTACTTTTTAATAAATACCAAAAACAAAACCCCCCAAAAAACAAGTTTGTCATTTCTATGATGCTCAGTTGTTTTCACAATGTAAAATTCACTTTACAATCAGTTTTAGGAAAACACACCAAAATGTCATACACTTTAATAAGTACAGGTAATATTTACAGTTTATATACACAAAGAGAAACTGCCAACTTTGCTATCACAGCCTCATACTTTTATAGATTAGGAACTATTTACAGTGTGGATAAGTTCTTATGTTGATTCTGAAATACATATTTCTTAAAAATTATACTCAGTCAATTCAAGTAGACGTGCCTTGACACACTAACCTATGATGACGGTATGGAGGTATGCAAGAAACACTTAAAAACAGGTGCATCATGGTCTGGGACACTGAAGAATACTTTTTTTTCCAACACACACCAGTTGGAGCACACATGAGCATCAAACACATACTGTACAGATTCATCCTAGTCCATGTAATTTAGTTTGTTCTCCCAAAGCTTTACACATTCATGTTTGGTCAACAGCGAAGTGACAGAGGTCTGTCTGCTTTCTGTGTAAAACTCCAGACTTGTTGCTAGTGGCCCACTTTCTCCCACATGTTCTCTACTTTTATTTTACTGGCAGAAAGTAAACAGGACATTTAAAAAATAATAATAATAATAAAAAGTGTTCACTGTGCTCCACTTCATTTTGTCAAAAAGTTTCCGAATGGAGCAAAAGAATTTTTTTTCTTCATCCAGTCTCATAGCTTAATCACTTTTATTACACTAATCCCTTATAACCAGGGCGATGACCTGGAAAACCCCAAAACTTTAGGTGCTGTTCCTCTCAGCTTGTTCCACAGTTCGTCCCGACTGCTGGTGGTTTATACATCGTGGTGTTTTACCTCCTTTCCCTTTGCTCTAGCTAACGGCAGCAGCGCTTTCTCTCCTCCCCTGCTTCTTCAGCAGCTGGATCCGGTTGTGGACGTAAAACTTGATGGCTCTCCAGTCTCGCTGGTTGCTCACCAGCAGGGGGCAGAGTTCCAAGCAGCGTTCACAGTCCGCCTTGGCAGGGACACGCAGGTCCAAGAGGTTCTTCTTGAGGTGCGTCTCCACAGCTACGCGCTCCGCCTCGGACCAGGGCCGCTTCAGGACGCCGCGTTTTCCTGAGGGAAGGTGTAATGAAGGCCATTAGCTGTACGCACAAGATCCTCTCAGGTCACGGGATCGCCATTGACAAACCTACCTGATTTAACTGGAGCTGCTCTCCTTTTCTGGGCGTTTGCTACAGGAGGGGTGACAGTGGTTGTAGGAAGGGATGCAGGTTTCTTTCGAGGGGGTCGTCCCGGTCCTTTCTTCTTTACGATCACCTCCGTCTTCTCCTTGACGTCTTCTTTCTCTTCACCTGCATCCGAATCTTCTGAAAATGAATCTCCGGAGTTGCCAGACATCACTGTTTGAAGAAAAATGTGAATGTGACTGAATGCTTAACACTTTCAGCTTTCTTGTTGTTAAAATGTGTGATTGCAGTAAGCTGGACTTGGTGCATGTTTCAATACTCTGCTTCCATGATCCTGCTGAAGATTTGTATCCCCAAAGCATAATGAAGCCTCCAGTCTTATGTGTTTAGGATGATGTGCAGTTCAAAAAGCTTCCTCACCTGATCCTTGTCTGTCGCCATTGCTTGCTTCACTGATTAATGCTTTACTTGCTGCCTAAACTCTGCTTTAAAACCCCTCCCCAACTTTATCTCCGACTCATCTGTTGTGTTCTTGGTTTGGATGAGGCAGATTGTTCTGCAACATCAGAGGCATTCGCAAAACAGCTGGAGATTAGATATCCAGAAATTCACTCCATTTACCATTTAGGTGATTTCTGAAGACTGCATTTCATTTTGGTGTACCAGCAAGAATTAGGCAGAAAAATAAAACACGCACTTCAAACGTTTTAAGAAAAAAAACTAACAAAAAATCCTGATAAAAACTATGTCCTTCATGCCGCTTGTCGAAAGAGGACAGATGTATCTAGTACTTCTGGGGGACAAAAGAAGACTTATTCACTTTCACTGAATGAAAACAAAAAGAAAAAGATCACCATAAATCTTTTTGATTTTAAAAAACATACAACATTGTGTCTGTCTATTGATTTGGGTGCAGCTACATCATTGGCTGAAAAGACATACATAAAGGGTTGGAAATAGAAAAAGAAAACTGTTAGATACACTTTCTTACCGTCTAACTCGAGGCAAATGTCCTGCAGGCTCATCCCCCTGAAAAGCACGCCCTCTCTCTCTCCGTAGAGAACGACGCGTCCAACTCGACTCATCAGTACCGGATCTCGTATGATAGAAGAGCAGTTCTGCGTCACGTGGTACTCCCGTTCCAGGAAGTCCTCCAGCCGTTTGATGGCTCCACCTGGGCCCTCTCCCTCATCCAGCAGCAGCAGCTGGGTAAGGATGGCCACCTGCCGCCGCACTCGCGTTGCTGTCAGCGTCCCGGCGTTTTTGGCCCCACTGGCCCGAGCCAAGTTCCTCAGCAGGTCTGTGCCGCGGAGTGGAGTGGCAGGCGAGTGGTAGGGTCGGGAGAAGACATAGGGGCTCTCAGGGTCCACGCCCACGTTGGGGCTGGTGCGGAGCAGCAGGTCCAGGCAGGACTCGCAGTGAGGTGGGAGGATGAGCGGCTGGACGCGGCCACGCTTGCCCAGGACGCCCGCCCGTGGAAGGTGGCATAAGACCTGACGCTCGAAGGGGGACAGGAAAGACTCCATGGCAGGGGAGGCGCTGGGGTCAGACTGTGGCGTGATCCGGTTGCGGTAGTCCTGAATCGTGAGCTTGGCCATCTCGCATTCCCGGTGTCGGTTGTAGAGGATGAGCAGCGAGAGGCTGGAGTGGCAGAGCAGCCGCCACGCCTCGGCTGAGTGGGGAGAGCGAGTCAGAGAGAGGGAAGAGGAGTGCTGCTGGCGGCGGAGGTAGATGATCAAACACGACAGGGAGGAGAGCAGGGGAGACATGTGCTGCCTGTGTGTACTGGAGAGAAAAACATTAATGCGATTAATTTATTACTGAAATCATTACAGACTATTTTAGTAATCAATTAGCTGTTCAGCCGGTGGGAAAAAAAAATATTCAGAGTAGTAATTTTTTTTAGAAAAAAAAATACAGATTTTTTTATTTAAAAAGGAATATAATTTTTTTTTTTACAATTTTAATGTATGTCTAATACTGTGTAAAAAGGAATAAGCAGACAAATGAAAAACCTGTGGATTAATTGATGACATAATAAATAAATGCTTCTAGGCAGAAAATCTAACCACACCTTATAACTTCTCCATTCTTCACTGGTGCATCCTCCTCCACTCCACTCAGCTCCAGATCTTCATCAGGATCGATATTCGGCTCCGGAGTGGGAGGCGGCAGCAGCTCCTCTTGATTCTTCTCTACCTCCACTTTCTGCTGCTCCTCGTGCTTCTCCTTCTTCATTCGCCTTCCTCTTTTCAAAGCCGGGGTCGGCGGTGGCGATGGACTTTTTACCCGAGAGACCAGCGGCGGCGAGGAGAGTTTGGCAGCAGGAAGTGGTAAGCTGGGCCCCTTCTTTGCAGCTGTGGGCTGTGCAGACGAAGGAGGTGAAAGCGAGAGGGAGAAGGAGACGCTGCCTGTGCTCGAGCGCGTCGCCGGCGACTCCTTCTCCCTGGAGAAGAGCGAGGGCGGAGCCGGGTTGGAGGCGGAGGACTGTGGGATGGCGAAGGAGTGGCTGTGAGGAGCAGAAGTGGAGGACGAGGAAGGGTGCGGCGTATTGCCGTTTGAGGAGCTGTGTGTGTGTAGGTGTGCCAGCTCCATGGCCGTTCGGACATCTGGCTGGTTGCTGTGGTATTTCTCCAGGTGGCGTGCCAGCGAGCGGTAGTGGCGGCCGCAGTACGGGCAATGCTGCCGCCGGTTCGCCGCGCCGGCGCTGGAGCTGCCGATGTTTATGTTGATGTTATTGTTTATGTTGGTGGTTGGGGGCGCCAGTGGCCGAGCTGGTGGGGCCACGGGCCCCGGCCGGGAGAAGGAGGAACAGGGGCGCCCAGGACCCCTGGAGGAAGGTGGAACGCTCTTCTTCTTGGAATTAATGGCCGCAGGCAGCTTGCGCTTCTTGCGGCGACGAAGCATCCGACCCCTTATCTCCTCGATTTCTTCTTCTTCATCGTCGTCGTCATCATCGTCGTCCTCCTCCTCTTCATCTTCCTCCCGGTCTGAGTCGCTGGCCTCAGAGTGGGTGAGTGGAGATGAGGAGGGCGACAGCGACCAGGAGGGGGTGAGGTAATCGGACACAGCGAGGGACAGCGGGTGAGGGCCAGCCTCTTCCTCCTGGTTACACAACAGAAGAACAATTAACTGGTGTAGATTACAACTGTCCTCCAGCCAGGAGTAAAACACATCTGTTGTGATTGTTTCTAATAATTTAGAAAAAATGATTACTACAATTGTCTTTTACTCTTCTGTTGTTGTTCTTTGGCTCCTTCAAAAAAAAAAGTTTGCTATTATTAAAATTGCTCTACTCCATATAGTACTGGACTGGTGGCTTCATTTAGAAATAAATGAAATTTATATGAATGCCTCGTCCAATGACTGCTTGCAAAAAAAATGATCAAGATCATTGCAATTTACAAAAAAATTTGTTAGGAATATGCAAAAGCTATGATAAGCTTAAATTAGGGCTGCAGCCAGTAGCATTATTCACTTCATGGAGCAGAAAATAATTGATAGATAATTACTGTCATGTGCTGATAAACGATGCTTGACAGCTGACATTTATTAAATTATCTCACAGACTAACAACTGCCTGAGACTGAACACACAATGCGGTCAGGAGAAGCAGAAAGGATCAGCTTCTTTAAAATGTTGTCTAAAATATTTAAATTCAGAATACAGCACATTGAAATTAGAACATGTAGCACACTTTACTATTCATATGTAATTAAAATAGTCAATTCTAAAGGTTCACAATGCAAAGAGGTACCTAGATTCTGCGTGTAAAAAATAAC